GAGCATAAACCCTCGTTCTCCCCAGCTTTCTCCCCAGCTGTTTTTGAGAATATAAAACCCTCTTTGTCTCCCCTTTTCCTCCTTCTTTCCAAACCCCACAAGCAGCACTCCGTGGTTTAAGTCTTCTCCGCAAACTCCGTCAAAAATCCCCTTTTTATAAAACTGAAACCCTAACTGGTCCCCTTGAACTGCCACTGACACGGGGGCCCCCCAGAGGGCCCCCCGGAGGGCCCCCGGGTCTTTTTGGGGGAGGTCTTTGAAAGTGTGGGGTTTGGCGCGGGGTGTACATACACCCGAGCGGCACGGCCGCTCGCGGGCCTCGTAGGGGAAGTAGTCTGCTGCAGCACAAAGGCCTGCTGCAGCAGCAAACTGGAAGGCAGCATCCATGAGGCCCCCGCTGCAGCCAGAGTTCCCGAAGGGCCCCGAACAGTCCAGCAGCATCTGCTCACTTAAGGGTACTGCGGGGGGGCCCCCCTGGGGCCCCCCTGCAGCACAGAGGGCCCCCTCGAGGGCCCCCGCGCTCGAGAAGGCCCAGCAAGACCCGCAGGGGCCCTGGTCCTTTGCTGCTGTCACGCAGCCCTTCTCCCGCCAGTCCACTGACTCCGGAACTGCTGCTGCTGCTGCTGCTGCTGCTGCTGCTGCTGCTGCTGAGGAGGGGGAAGAGGAAGCGGAGTCCTGCGGCACAGCCACACCCACACCTGACACAAACGCACTTTCGCCCAGCAGCAGCAGCAGCAGCAGCAGCAGCAGAAGCAGCAGGGGAGGGAGGTGCAGCAAGAGCAGGAGCAGCAGGTGCAGCAGCAGCAGCAGCAGGAGCAGCAGCAGCAGGAGCAGCAGCAGGAGCAGCAGCACGAGCAGCAGGAGCAGCAGAAGGAGCAGCAGAAGCAGCAGAAGGAGCAGCAGCAGCAGGACCAGCAGCAGCAGCAGCAACAGCAGCAGAAGGAGCAGCAGCAGGAGTAGCAGCCGCAGTAGGAGCAGGAGCAGCAGGAGCAGGAGGCGCAGGAGGAGAAGGAGCAGCAGCAGCAGCAGGAGCAGCAGCAGGAGCAAGAGCAGGAGCAAGAGCAGCAGCAGCAGCAGCAGCAGCAGCAGCAGCAGCAGCAAGATACCCCCAGGCGAGCTCTCTGCAGCCAGGGCTGCCCAATGAGGCCGCGGCGGACATAAGCCGAAAACTCCTCCGAAGTCCAATCGCCAAACTTGTTGATCCCCAGCTCGTAAGAGTGACCTGCAGCAGCAGCAGCAGCAGCAGCAGCAGCAGCAGCAGCAGCAGCAGCAGCAGGGATGAGAGCGACGCAGCGCTGCAGCAGCGCGTCTACGCCAGCTGCAGCAGCAGCGGCAGCCACCCGAGCAGCAGGAGCAGCAGCAGCGCCGCCACAGCAGCAGCAGCAGCAGCAGCAGCAGCAGCAGCAGCAGCAGCAGCAGCAGCAGCAGCAGCAGCAGCAGCAGCAGCAGCA